TGGGGCCAGCAGTTGGCATGGTGGTTAAGGGTGCTGGACTCCCATGTGGCCAACAGTGATTCGAGTCCTGGACCTGGTGGCTTGCTTTGTCACTTTCCTTCTCTGTCTCTCTTTGGTCAAATGTAATAATAATGATGATGATGATGATGATGATGATAAACAGAGTTAAATAAAATAATTCTTTTAAAAAAATGTTTATGGGGCCAGCAGGTGGCATGGTGGTTAAGGGCACTAGACTCCCACATGGGCAACTACAGTTTGAGTCCTAGACCTGGTAGCTTGCTTTCTCACTTTCCTTTCTCTCTCAATCTCTCTCTCTCTCTCTCTCTCATTCTGACTCTCTCTGGCCAAATTAAAATAAATAAAGATAAATAAAATAATTCTAAAAAAAATGTTTTTATGTGTTAATTCCATGAGCATGAGTGATAAAGATGGAGAGAGAGAACAGTATCCCCAACAGGGTCCTGATGCTGTGACCACCCCTTCACCCCCTAGTCCTCCAGCGCCGGCTTCAATGCAGTCCGGATAAGGGACACATATGTGCCTAACCTGACATGCACTGGTAACCTTCCCATGTGAGTCTCTATGACAGAGGGTTGCATTTTACCTCTGTGCCACTCTCTGGTCTCAAAATTATCTTTGTTTCTTTTCTTTGTTTCTTTCAATTTTGCCAGAGGGTACATGCACCTACTGGAGAGAAAGAGAGAGGAGAGAGAGAAAAAGAGAGAGAAGAGAGAAATTAGAAAGCACTCCCCATGGATGGGAACACAAGCCCTTCTCCCTCATTTCCCCTCCTTTTCTGGGAGTTTGGGCATACACAAGCACCTGGTGTGTTTCTCAAGCCTACAGAGGATTTGAATCCAGGACTTGAACCACAAAGTCAACCACATTGGATCCAGCTGTACCAACCACCATGCCACAGGCTGGCCTTCGAAAGTTTGTTTCTAAAATGCCTTATGGAATCCTTTTTTCCTTTATCACTAGCCTGTCCTTTTTTTACTTCCTGAGAGAGCTTATACATGTGCAATAAAGAGAGTAAGAGGGAGAGAAGCATCTTCCACAGGGCTGATTGAGCTGTGATCCCCTTCATCCAATCCTCCAGCCTTCCAAGATCTTGGCATGCATAACTGAGTGCTTCCCAACAGGCAGGACAGGGCTCAGACCATGGTCAGCCTGTGGCTTCCAGATCCACAGTCCAGTATGTCACAGATGTGCTACAGAGGTGGGCCCAAAATGTCTTTTGAGTTGCAACCACACCCTCACCCCTTACTATAATGCAGAAAGCAACTAGAAAAACTGGAGATTGGTGAAGCCTTTTCATGTTTTACTGTTTCTTTTTAAGTTACCAACCTTGTACACTCAATTCTAAATGAAATATGAATTACTTTTTTTTCTAAAGGAAGGTAGGAGATTCATATTTTTTTCCTTGCTTATTAATCATTCCAAACTTTAGCTATTACTTAGGAGTCAGTAGATATTGTCAATTTACCTTTAAGATCTTAACAAAAAAAGTCACCTTCCAGGGCCAGCAGTTAGCCTATTGGCTATGTCGCTGGATTCCCATGTAGTCGACTGCAACTTGAGTCCTGGACCCGGTGGTTTAAACTCACACTGGGCGCATGTGCGTGCGTGCCCAAGATCCTGCTAAGAGGAGAAAGGAGGAGAAGGGATTGCTATGTGACCAACCCCCTGGAGGGTGATTTCTTGCTTTCTGTCTCTCTGTATCTCTCTGTCTTTCTGGCAAGCACATGCACCCTATAGCAAAAAACCTCTCCAAAAAAAGAAAAAAAAGTCACCTTCCAACCAGTGATCTAAGTAGCTACCTTTATCCTCACATCCAAATTTCTGGATATTAGAAACTTTTTTTCCCCATCTTGATGGTTTAAAAATGTTCTTTGGGGCCAGCAGACGGCATAATGGTTAAGTTGCTGGACTCCCACATGGCTGACGGCAGTATGAGTCCTGGACTCAAAGACTTGAAACTCATGCCGCACGTGCATGCATGCGTGCGTGTGTGTGCGTGTGTGCCCCAAATCCCAAGAGAATACAGAAGAAGGGACTACTGCATGACCACCCCCCTTCGGTGGTAATTTTTTGCTTTTTAAGTCTCTGTCTTTCCAGTGAGCACACATGCCCTATTGCAAAATATCTCTAAAAAAAAAATTATTTATTTTTCACTTGTATTATGTCCAGAATTCTGGTGTGGTGTTGATTTATTTTTAATATTTAAAACAAATTTTTAAAGAATTATTTAACTTTATTTATTTACTTACTTAATTTGACCAGAGAGGGACAGAGAGAGAGAGAGAGAGAGGAAGGAAAGAGAGAAAATAAGCCACCAGGTCCAAGACTCCAACTGTGGTGGGCCATGTGGGAGTCCAGTGTTCTTACTACTACGCTATCTGTGGGCCCCATTTTTAAAAAATCAAGTGTTTATAGCTATTTGCACTTCCTCTACTTGAGGGAATTTGCAGACAGATAGTCAACAGCGCACAGTGGCAGTGTTGCAGTGGGAGAAGGAGCCCAGTTGGCTTCCTCAATACCTTCCCTTTTTTTTAGGCTCCACCTTCCTCCCAGATTCCTGCTCCTTTTATTAGTGGGATTCTAAAGCCACTAATTATCTTTCCACATTCTGTACAGGCCCCGTGTTCTTCTCTGGAATTATTTTCAATTGTTTATTTCCTTTTCTAATTTTGCAATTTAACAGCCTATCTCTTTACATCTATTTGATGTGGTTCTGGGCAAATTAGGCCAATAACAATTTGCCTCATGCAGTATTTTAATAAAACAAGTTATAACAGTTATTATTTTACTTAATAATACACCCAACTTTGAACAAATTTCATGTGACTTTAACCATTTAATATAAGGAATGCCATTTAATTTTAAGTTTTCTCTTTAACTGCTTTTAGAAATTCACTTGAATAACATGCCTTTTCCATATAATACCTTAATAAGATAACTGCAGAAAAGCCACTAATGAATATTACTTTATTTTATTAAATAACAGCAAAGGAACTATAAAGATTTAAATAGTTTTATATGCAAGTTAAAACTTTCCAAACTCAAAAATGAACTTTTTTTTTTTTTTTTGGGAAAGGGGGGGATACATTCCCTCAAGAGCTCTCATTTCAAAACCCAAATGGGATTTCAAAATACAAGTAAATAAATGTCAAAGCCTCTTGGCCTCTGCTCTGCCATTCTATGCCTGAAATCCTGCCAAAGTGAAATTTTCCATTCAAGAAAGACTGGCATTTAATAAGCTGACTTTTAAAATACATTCTCAAAAGTAGTGGAAACTTTGTGAAACTTTTACATTCCTCTCTTGGATAGAATCACTGCCTCTGTACACATTTTCCACTACTGTAACATTTTTTTGAACAGCTCATTTCCAGCCTTCCCAATGGCTTCAGCCACTGAGTGTATTGGTTTTTCCCAGTGCCAAGCGAAGATAAAGAGCTGCCAAACTAGGAGCAGGTGTGTCTGAGTATCAAGACACAGAAAGGACAGGATAGAAAGTATCTCAGTAAGTACCAAGCCAGAGAGACAAGAGAAAGAGGGGGAAAAAAATAGAAGAGCGTGGCTCAGTCTCACAAGATATACGTAGTTATCTCAAAGAAACTGGCTAAAGCAAGATTGGCTGCTTATTCATAGGAGACCATCCATTTCAATGACTGTGAAGATCAAATAGTTCAAAAGACATGTGTTTGCTTAAAGAACTCAAGAGGTTAAATACGGAGCGCGCCTCCCCCGCCCAACAACGTAGTAAAATGAGGCTTAGCACACAGCTCCTGCGTGCCAGTCAGGCGGTGGGAGGGAGAAGGGGCGCGAGTTTCTGCAGGCTTGGGAAGACTGAAAACTGAAACTGTCAGCCATCTCAAACTGTGATGTTCCTAAATAAGAAGCCAAAAAAACACCTCAGAAGACGCTATGATATAAATCAGAGGTCTAATAGAAATGAAAATTGCAGAACGTTAAGTGAGAAAACTGAAATCCATCAGGAACAATGCTGCAATCAAGTTACAAGTCGTTTCTTAAGGCTTTCTCCCCACTCTCAGTTTTCTTCCTTTCCTTGGGCGTAGATTTTCTCCTAAGCAGCGCACCCCGAATTATCCCCGTGTGAGCCTTCCTTTAATTTCGGATTGAATGGTTTTTCCTCTCTTCTTTTGGCTCCCATAATCTTAAAGCTCCTTTTCCTCATCTAGTATTTGTTTCAGGAACGGGACAAAGAGGAGGCAGCAAGGCAGAAAAGTTTTGTGGTTTGGAAAACTTGGGCCTTTGTTGTGTCATTTCCCTTGCCCCTCCACGCCCCCAACCACGTGACCAAGAGAGGCCGGAATTTTGTGAATGGAGCCGAAAGGTGGCTGCGGGGGCGGGCGGGACTCCGCCCCCTTCCCTAAAGCGGCCAATCTCCTACCGGAGCGCTGCGGGGTCAGCAATAAACAACAATGGGCAGGGAATTTACGGTTCGTTATTGGCTGCGGGAAGAACCTCGCGGGGGCCTAACTCGAAGCTCCGCCTTCTCGCGGTTACCCTGGATACTCCTCGGGCTCTGGCCACAGAAGTCTTCGGAAATTATTGCTCAGTTTACAGGGGCTAGATTATCCCGAGAGTACGGGGGTGCCGGGATACTCTTATTAGGCCCCCTCACTGCCCCTCTCCTGGTTGCAATCTCAAAAAGTACCCAAGGACCTCCCTGTTCCAGCTTCTGGGCCCTAGCTGCGCTCGGAACCCCTCCCTAGCCGGCATTAAAATGCAGTTCCCGCTCAAAACGCTTATAGGTGCGCGCGTTGTGAACTCTGATGTACTAGTTTCGGAGAATGCACGATGTGTGTCCCGGTGTCCACAAGATTGTGTTCTTGCCTCAGTAATAAGTGCTGATTTTTTGTTTTCCCCTTCTCTCTGGTTCCGGAATCGAGCCTTTAATGCGTCTTCATAACGTTCCTTTTAAGGAAGGAAACTTTCAAATAAAAATTGAGAACTGCTGCACGTTTCCCAACGCGCCGAACAGCTGCCGGAAACGTCCTTTGGTCACTAGCTCTGGTCGCCACCAAGATCACTAGTGAATTTCAATACCGTTGAGCCTCTGGTCCCATCCCCGCGGCCTCCCATGCCCTGTTGGAGTGCAGCTTAAGTGACTCCAAGCCTCAGATGAAGGAGGTTCCGGACAAGAGGCTTCAGACATGCAACCCTCACTTCTTAACGTCCTAGTCATTGTCCTTGAAACCCGAGTCCCACCACCGCTTGCCCCCAACTCCGGGCTTTGACTGTTTAAAAGCTCGAGAGGAAGTGAAAGCGTCAAGTACAGTGACACCCTCCGCCTCTGTGTATACATAACAAAAGCTCAGGAAACGTGCGGGTCCCTAGGATATCCGAACCACCCCAACCCCTCCCTTCTTTTCCCCACCTCCACAATGCTCTAGAAGTACCTTGCCCCAATACACACGCAGGGACACATTGGTTTTTTATACTTCTGCACTGTAGTTCTCCCTCCCAATGCAACCGCTCGGAACAAGCAATTCTGTGTCTCCCAGGTGATTTCCTCATAACAGTATTTTTTTTTTCTGTCTCATGAACGATAGAATCTAGTTTGGGTTAAGGAAGATTGTTTTAAGTGTTTCAATAAACTATAATGGTGGTACTGATTTTTGGAAAAAAGGGTAAAGACCTTGGGCCGAAAAGCTCAGAGGGAACGAGGCTAAGGAGCGACGTCGGGTCCTTGTCAGGTCAAGAGTAGAGGTGCTGGAGCTCTTGAAGGGCCAGAGCGTAAAAGGAAGCACCACGTTTGTGGATCGCGCTTCATACCTGAACTGCACGACAGTGCTTTAAGGAAATGAGCCCAATAAAGGACCAAACACACCAGTAATAACAACTGGCGACTCGGTACACATGGTTTCAGTATCCCCAGGCGTCTTAACAATAAGCAGCGGACTAGGAAGGAAGTCGATTTCCTCCGTGGCGTTTCCAGGCTGCGGACCCTGAGCCCTCCAGCTAAGCACCCGCTCGGGCAGAGGGGCGCTGGGGACCCGCGGGAAGGGCCAGCTAACCGACTGATTGACAGCCCGAAATCTGATCTTGTGAAAGAGACGCGGAGCCAATGGGAGGCAGCGATCCATCAGTTTGGATTGGAGGCCCCTGGAGGAGAAGTAGAGGAAAAACCACCGAATTGAGCTCTGTCAGAGGCGCTTTCGGCTTCCAAGGGGGAAGTGCTGGGCAATAATTAATGTTTTTATTAAATTTGGAGGGAATTGTTTGCAGTCGTTCGCCTAGCGTGGCCTTCAGGTGGGTCTTTCCAACAACTTTTTATGTCTCTCCAGATAATTGCATGGTTGTGGGTTGCAAAAACGATCCTTATGAAAGAGGTGTTTCCGTCTCTTTAGTCCCGTTAGGTGCAAAGCAAGTCTCGCTGATCGCCATTGCTAGTTTTTGCACACGTTTGCGAATCAAAGCTGCCCGGGGGTACACCGACCGCGCAGGGAAACATCGAGAGTGTAAATAAATACATCGCCTCTTGTTCGGATTTTTCCTACTACCGAAAATATGTAAATTGTGAACTCTCTTGGCTCTCTTTGGATCCAGGTGAAGGAGGCGGTGTAGGGAGGGTTATTTTTGTGAATGGGACTGTCGGAGGATAATTAGCTATGCAAATTCAAGAGCTTCATTCATGATTTTTTTAAAAGCCTAAAAGCCATCTTGTTCCCCTCTAGGTTGATAGAAGTCCAGATCCCGAGGAAATCTCCAGCTAAATGCTCAAAATATAAAATACTGAGCTAAGATTTGCGAAGAGCAGCAGAATGGATGGATTTTATGACCAGCAAGTGCCTTACATGGTCACCAATGTGAGTGATCAGTTCGAAAGTTGCTGTTTATAAACTTGACTCCGACGGGGGGGTGGGGAGAGGGAGAGAATGAAAAGGGAGGGGGCAAGGGGGGTTGGGATTGCAGCTACTTTATCTGCTTTGTTGCCACTGTAGGGCGACTCTGCTTCTAGAAGCCCAATCTTCAAAATGAGCTTACCTTTCAGTGATTTGGATAAGGCATAGTTTTGTTTTTAAGACCCCCTTTTTTTCTGATTAAAGTGCCCAAGATGAGTGGAAGAGGAGACGGAGGGCAGCAGCAGCTGCTGCGCTCAAAGTTTTTGGCTGGGTTTGTCTGCCACATTGAAAAGAATGAAGTTGAGACAAATGCTGACACTTTTTGTTTACATGGGGTGTTTTTGTTTCTTTTCTTTCTTTCTTTTTTTTTTTTCCCTTCTCATTTTCTTCTCTCTTTCTCCTTTAAATTTCTCCACTGTCTCTTTTTTCCTTTTTTGGGGGGAGGACTGGCTTTCTGAGAAAGAATAAAATTCACTATATTTTAATCTAGTGTTTATCTAGCCTAAAAACGACTTTAAGTGTTATTGCTTAATGCTGTTTTGATGCTGAGATACCATGGATTTATGACTGATAAAATAGTAGTGTTAGGATCGGCAATGGGAAGCAACTCTCCCTGGCTGTTGAATTCTCAGCATAATTTTTTACTGTCAAATAAAGGCAGAAAATGAATATTAGAATTGATAGTATGGACTTTCATTTTTTTCTATTCAGAAAAGGGGATCCAGTACATTTTTTGTATGCATGTTTTTTTGTGTGTGTGCATCTGAGGTTTACTTTCTTTTAAAGAATTTTATCTTTCCCTTTGTAGAGTCAGCGTGGGAGAAATTGTAACGAGAAACCAACAAATGTCAGGAAAAGAAAATTCATTAACAGAGATCTGGCTCATGATTCAGAAGGTGAGGTTTGATTTTTGGGCTGAACCCCACTTTTTGCCTACACTCCACCCTCTTAAAGAAAAGGAACACTTTAGTCTTACCTTTAAAAGTAATAAACTTTGAAACGACTGAATTTACGATTTTTACTTGGAACAATTTACATAATGTGACAGTTTGCATTGAAGAAGATTTTTGGGTCCTTTACAAACTAATGGAAGAAGGAAATAACTATGTCATCCTTCTTTTAATTATTCTTTTGTGTTTAAATACCTCGTCCATATGACATAAAAAAAATCCCATGCACTATGGTAACAATTTAAAAATCCAAAACACTGGGACAAATTAAGCACCTATATACACTACTTAGTTTTTTTTTGTTGTTGTTGTTCTTCTTCTTTATTATAAGTTAAACAATATAAATATTTGTTTCATGTCCTGTCCTTTTTACCCTAAAACCATATACTGTTAATCACAGTTTTCATGGATGATTGTGATGACTGTATTGTTGGATCATAATATCTTGTTTATAGGCCTTAAAGTTTTCACTGATTCATACTTAAAGCCTAATTAGTAATTATAGGCCTATTTAAGAAATTAGGTTGTAGATTCTTTTTTTTTCATGAACTGTTAGTAGGAGTTCAGTAGATTATAAATTATTTCAGCCATGTGAGAGCATTTGTAACAAACTTAATAAACTTCGAGTTAATTATCAAAGTTTAGTTTACAATTGAAATGAGCTATGCTGAATTCTGAAACTTCCTCAAATCTTCATACTTACTGGATACCACTCTCCAGTCCCACCCAACATAACATACTACTTACTATTGGACTCCATTAGGAACTGGTGCCAGGGAATTCAGTCTTTGACTTTTGTTGATCTATTAATGTAGAAATGTTTCTCCAAAAACATGTATATAAAGTTGTCCCTTTCAGTTTTGAGGCATTAAACCTGAAAACATAGTACCATGAGACTTATACCATGTACTGTTACATCAGAAGATACGAATAATGCTTCTCAGTCTTTCTAATCTTTCCCCTTCTACTATTTTAGCAAGTCTGGAGTATATTATGAAAGATTTCTTAATAGACACACCTTCACCTAAGCTTCTTCCTGAATCTTAGGGAATGTGTGTTATTTGGGATCCCTGAGCCAATTTACTAAGCCATTTGTTAAAAAAGAAAAAAGAAAAAAAAAGATTGACCATGATGTAGTTAATTTAAAGAATTTCTGCAAGTGTTGCTTAATAGGCATCAAAAATAGGCATTATTAAAATATTTAAGTTAGAAATCCTATTTTCTCTTTATATTGACTCCCTTCCCCCAAATTAAATTGATATTTAATACCATTTTCCTGACAAACACTTCCATTTAATGAAATCTCAAGATTTGCAAATCTTATGTTTGTGTCTTTGACTTGTTTTTTAGAACTCTTTCAAGATCTAAGTCAATTACAGGAAACATGGCTTGCAGAAGGTAAGGCAAAAAAAATTGCTTTAAAAGAGGGGGGAGAACAACTCTAAAAGGGGGAAAAAAAGTCCTGAACTTGCTGTCTTAATGTTCAGCCCAATTAATTGAGCTCTAAAAGAGCCACCTCATGTGTCATGCATACATTAGAGCCTCTGATGAGTTTGTCTTTGGGGACTCTGGGGCTGTTCTACCCAGTGTCATCACAAATTACCAGGAGAAATTGCTTCCAGCTCACAATCACATCTGCTTTTGGCAAGAACTAATGCACCAAGACTTCAAGTTCTAAGCCTCTGTTCAGATTTTAATTGCAATTGATCAGGTTTATATTATTGTACCTCGAGAGACCTCCTAGAGCCAGAACCCGGCTGGCTTGCTGTTTCCTTTAGAGCAGCGCATATCATTATTTGGTGTTCTGGTGGAGGACTTTTCTGATGGCAGAAATTAGTTTCTCTGGGTTCATCAGGACGGGATGCTTCAAGATTTAAGTGCAAGCGTCTTCTTTCCACCTTGCTCACAACACAGAACACTAGGTGTGTATCCAATACTTAGGAAATCTTTGATTTTAAAGTAAATCTTTGGGGCATTTGGGGATTTTTTAAATGTTTCCTATGTGTTACTTTTCATGTGATGTTTGTTGAAATTGACCTGTGTTATTGTGTCACTTTTATTAGGATTTATTTAATAAGACAAGGAGATATTTAAAGGCATTGCATTTATTTTGGGGGTATTTTTTGATAAAATTTTGTGGTACAATCTTTTATATCTTTCATTGTGTGCAACTTTATTTATAGAAACAAGGAGATATTATCTTACTAAATCTTTATACAACTTTAGAAATGCTTAATGTTGAGGGACTTCTTTGGCATCTGTGGTTTGAAAATTTTCTTTTAGAGTTGGCATAATAAATATGAAATAGAAATTTTCTGATGTGTTTTGTGGAAAAAAGGAGGAAATTATAGATATTTAAGCATTTAGTACAACTGTTATTTGTGTATTCACACTGTATGGGAAATATGCAGTTGGCACATATTTTTAAGGTAGTTATAAGGAGAAAGAAGGTCTCTTTTAAGGAACTCAGTCTTACTGTTTTACTTTGAAGCAGACTGATGTTTTATCGGGTAATTTCTTATGCAGTTGATCAAGTTGCTGTTAGCATGTAAAATAAGTTTCTTTGTTTTGCTGATAGTCAAGTTGTCCAAAGAGCTTTTGCAATCTTTTATGACTCTTTTCACTTAAATAGCTTTCCTAATAGTCTTGAAAAGGTATTGTTATCTGTATGCTAATGAGAGGTAAGTATTAATGAAAGTTTTAGTTATATTTAAATACTATTTTACTTGTCTGTAAGTGAAACTTATTGCAATAGATTACTTATTATTGCAACACAAGTCACACATAACTTTTTTTATGAAAAAGATTTGCATAGAAGTTCTTGTATTAGCTTTAATCTATTAGTTTGGCAAAGTTGAAGGTTATGAGGACATTGTATTTTATGAGAGAATTTATGCACTTATCCAAAATAACTTAAAATATCTATTTTAATTGTTCTGGAAGGATTGTTGGTTCTTAAGATGTTTAAATCTTATTGATTCCAAGTCAGTGCACTTGCTGGCAGATTCTGAATGTGCATACCAACTCTGTTCCTGGAATTTAAAATGTGGAATCTGTGACAGACTCCTTACCATTTTATAATCAGTTTCAGTACATTTTCCTTTTGACTTGGTTTGTGTCTTGTAGCTCCGATAAGTAATTTGAATAATTTAAATAACGTTATCTTTTCGAACGCTGCACAGAACATTTTTACCTGTCATGATTAGCACACCTGTAAATCAAATCTGAAGGTTTAGCCTTACATAAAATAAATCTAGAACATGACCAATGTATTTGGGTAAACATGGGCTTTTACTTAGAAAAGAATTCAGAAGCTTAACAAAGTTCAGAAATGGTGTTTTACTGAATACTCAGGTGGGCTACTACTTATAAACTATGGATAAGATTGCATTTTAGCATAAACATTTCCAGAATAGCTTACAGTAATTAATCCAATCATGACATAACCAAAGAGTTGCTAATGTGATTTTCAAAAATCTAATAGTGAGAAGAGTTTTTTTTTAAGCTATTTGTTAATAGGCTCCACATGTTTTTTTGTAATAAAATACATTATTTTGTACTAACATTTTGTCTTCACTTACCCTATGCCTTGAAAAATATTAGCTAAGAAGAGATCCCAAAATCACCCTAGTTTATTTGTAGCTAGATTTGCCCATTTATGTTTTTCTGGACTTACAGAAATTAAAACATTGCCAAATTGGCAGACCATGACCATTTCCATATTTCTTTTCATAGAACTCATAGCCAAGAAAGTGACCATGGAATTTTAAGACATCTTGACCCTTTTTAAAAAAGATCATTGGCAATTAACCAAGTTTTTCCCATGAGTTAGAATCCCACTGGGAATTTAAACAGGTCTAAAAATCTTGTTAGATGGGAGTCAAGTTAGTTGTAATGTGTCATATGATAGTAGTGTTTAAAAAAATTATCAAAGTCCCTAAATACTTGGGAAATGATATATTTTAGCATGTTTAATGTTTTTCTGTAAGGATTTTTATAAATTAGACCTAAAGTTTTAACATGTGGAATAGTCGTGGGCAAATGCTGGATTACGAAATATATTTTATCCCTAAGGATACGTTAAAATAGATAAGGCAAGGCTTCGTGGGTGGGCTGGAGCCAATATTTTCAATTCATTAAAGTCCTTTAAAAATAACTTGCATTCCTCCAAAAAACTCCATAGAGTTCTGAAATATGTTTGTGAAGAATATAACCTTCCATTAATACTGCTTCCCAAGTACTGACTGTGCAATTTAACAGTCTTAACATATATACTACAATTTAGAATAATTATCTTACTTTGAAGAAAATTGAAAATATAATGTTTTGAGTGACCATGGTACCAAATTTAAAAAGAAAAGCAAACAGAGAATATGCTTATTTTAAATTTTGCCATAGCTCCTTATATTATAATTATACTATGTGTAATTCTTTATTGATTCTTTGTCTTTGAATTAGATTGCAGCTGACAGAAAGGCAATTGTAATTATTTGAACCCATGAAATAATGAGTTCAAATATCACTTCTATCAACATCATGGTAACCTGTTATTCTTAAATAACAACCTGTTCTAAGCAGTGCTTTAGAGACTGGTGTCTTAAAAAGTCATAGGTAAAATGGAACCTCTTCTGTGCCAGAAATAGAAGGATATAAAAGGCTGAATTAAGAAAAACTTGCATTCTTCTAAATTTGCTTATTAAAGCGTACCTATTAATACAACTGAAAGAGAATACATTTGAGTATATATCTAATGGAAATACACAGGTACTTTTTGCCTGTTCTTTTATCAGTCTGGATGGTCCCGTTTATCGATAATATTAAGGAAAAAGTCAACAGTGATCCACTGCCATCAGGGTCAACTATTTTTCACTGATGTTGTAGTAAATCCAGTTTCAGTCAAGTCACAGTTGCTGCTGCCCCACTGTGAGTCAAAGTTTCATTTCCAAGAACAATCTTTCTAGAAAAAAGTTACTGCCTCATGCAGATAAGGTTTCTCTCCCCCCCCTTTTGTTTTATTTGACCTTCAAGTAATAAGTTGGCCTAAAAAAGGAGATGTCTTTACTGTCACCTCAATTCGCCTAAATGGCTGATGGGAAATTTATATTCTAAGTCCCTTTTTATAATGTTCTTAAGTAATGGGTGTTATTTGCTGCATTTGTCATCGAAGATACCCAGTAGTTATAACGCACTCCTTTCTATTTCTCAGAAATTGTTTCTTTTTAAATGAAACATAAAATAGAATACATGCTCATGAATTTTCCCCTACGTAGTGTAGTAAGGAATACAGGCTTTAAAAACTACAGGATTTTATGTAGCTCACATAAAACAGGAACTGAGAATTAAGCATGAATTTATAGAATTCCATACTGTGTCTTAGAGTTGAGCAATAGTCAATTCATGTGTTTTGGGGTGAGGGAAGGCTACCACCCTACCAGGAAACACTGAATTAGGAAAGATTTCTCATTTGGATTTGATTTGAAGATAAAAGGTAAAGTAAATACGTTTTATTTCTAAATATTCATTAAATTATATAAACTTTTTTCCCACCTATGTTCTGTTTACAAAATAAAAAAATTGAAAAAAAAAGAAAAATTGGTTTTGGTGTAGTGTAGTGTAGTTTTTGCAGGGGGCTCCTAATAAATGTTGATGACATATTGCTGAGCTTTTCTAGCTTAGTGACAAGACATGTATTATTTCTTGCATTTCATAGTATAACTTTATTCCCTCTGACTTGTATACAATCTTGTAATTAAAAAAATAATAATAGAGTCAGACTTCTGCAGCATTAGAGGAAATATTTGGCTAGAAACAACAGCTAGTTGACGCTGAGCTTCTCTTAAGTTTTCAAGTCACTGCAGGTCAAATTAGTTAGGAATTGAAGCTGATTTGAGACTAAAGACAATGAAATGTTTTCAGTTTTTCAGAGCTTCTAGAAAGACTGTCTTCATCAAGTATTAAAGGGGTTTCTCTCATGAGGAAATAGCCCCCTGTTTAGTCTGTTTAAATATGTTTATAACTGTACTTCTGCATTAATTAATGCTTTTAACATTGCTACAATAATTTTAATGCTAAAAGCGGATGTGGTATAAAACCAGGCTTAGTAAACTCATGATCATTTTGTTCCATGGCCTGAAGCTTCAATGTAGGATTACATAGTATGCCACCAGAGTGAAGGCTGATTTTTGTGTTGTTTTACTTTGATTGAAAATGCAATTCAAATTTCTCCAGAGAAGTTTGTTTCTGACCCTTTGAAGGAAAGTGAAATGGTGCAAGGTTCAGCCATAATCAGTTCTTTTCCTTTGATAAGAAGTTTTGAACAACAGGCAAGAAAAATAAGGTACTTCTCTAATGGTTTATCCCCTTGTTCACTCCCTCTTTTCCCTCCCTGCCTTGTTCTCTCTTCTTTCCACCCATCCATTCTTCCTTCTATTTCCCTTTACTTACTGAGTTACTTTAGTACATTCAAGTTTCTTTCATAAGTTACCCTGTAAAGCAGGGCAGCATTAAAATAATTTTTTTTCAAATATATATATATATATAACTTTGTAAACTTATTATTTATTTAACTGTGTTCTTTAATGGATCTGAGCTCTGTTTGGGACAGCAATAAAACTGGTGTGCTTATATTGCACGTCCAAGTTTACTTGCTTTAGCTTTCTGGAAGGGTGTGACATGAAAAGATTGCGGTGGGGCCACATGGCTCATGCTGGACTGTGTTTTTGTGAATGGAGGCAAAACTCCAGTTCTGCCTGCTTGTCTTGAGGAATTGCTGAGGAGATCAGCTGTCTCATTCACTGGCAGAAAGAATGACTCATACATCTTCCGCCTTGTTTGGCTCCAGGTCATTGTTACAGTGGATAGAACTGGTTTTAATTAAATATTAACCCCTTTTATACTTGACATTTGCTTTGTGATTTTTCCACATTTTTCCTAGCTTTAAAAGAAAACCCAACAGGCACGTAGTTCGTCAGAATAAACGGGCTTTTACTTGCTTGCAGCCAGCCTTGGAAAAGCTTTAAATACTCACTTTTTCTTAAGTAGTGATTATATATTATTTGAAAGTTAAAAATAGGCATAAAATAAAGGTAACCTATATTTCAAAATGCCCATCCCCAAGGCAGTGTTAGTTAAAAAAGGGTCTTAAAGAGAAAAATGGTGATTCTGTGACACATAGGTCATGATTGGTAGTTTTACGAATTTCTTTCCCATAGTATATACTGTTAGGTAAAAAGAGAGAAAACACACATGTGCGTGCACATGCACACACACCAACTTGGTGTAATAATCTAGGTGAGGCAGAGAGCCGAGAGTGCAGATACTACCCTTTTAAAGCCAAGCTCCTGAGAGTTGATGGCAACTTGTCTACTAATGTGTAATGAACTGATAGAGCTGCTCCAGCTATTACCAATAAAATCCACATGCTTAATCTTCTTGAAAGCCTTTTATTGGCCTTTTGGTATAGACTTTCCACCTCTTACCTTTCTTTCTCTTTCTCTTCCTCTTTAATTACAAGTTTACATGTGTAGAAAAACATTTTCATTCTCTAAAGTAGATCATTTCAAGCATAGTGCTTAATAGATAGCAGGGAAAAGAGTGAGAAATAGATTTTTTTTTTTTTGGTAGATTAGCCTCTATTATTAATTTCCAGTTTTGGATTTGGTATGGCTTGCTACACATGTGCAGGCGGCTCCTTCACAGAATTCCCGTGACATGAAGAAAAAAAGGACATGGATGATACGAACGTGGCAATACTTTGTCATATTTTCCTTGCCTAGATCCAACTTGTGTTTTCAGTGAACTGCTTTCCTTTCACTCTAACTTGAAATTAGGGGTATACTTAAGCCTTCGTCTGTGTAAGTAGCACACTACTTCATTGGGTTTATTCGGTTTCTCAAGATTAGCTTCTGTGAAAATGTGAGTCATATTTTTTTTTGTTAAAATTCTGTAATATGTTCAAGCATAAGTGTGAAGTATTTATTCAGTATGTTAAGGAGTTCGAACAGAAATAGAAATTCTTAATCTCATTCTTTTTACACATTGTTAGTAGGCAGTTATTTTCTGTATGTTTGTTAGTAAAACTTGTAGATTCTTCTTAAAGTTTTGCCTTTTTTTTTTTCCCCTCTCCACATATCCCAACTCACACCCCACACCCATCAGTGACTTTTACAATGTTCTTGCAGTGATGTATATGATGAGTAGCAATTTTGTCTTAGGATACTAAGAAAGAAAAAAACAAAAATCAAAAAAAAGGAGCCTTTTGGACATTCAGACCAGTATATTCAGTTTCAAATTTACTTTACTTTTATTACTCACTGGCTATTTTTAACTATTCCTGTAAAGGGATAGTGCACTTTTATTAGTTTCTTGTAAATGTAGATTTTTTTAAAAGCACAGTAATTGTTGTGGTTGATAATTTTGCATCTCAATGGTTGTATCTGTTTACATGTTAATCTAGAGGTAAAACCAAAATGCAGACTTCTGGGGGGGGGAAATGTGCAGGATTTGATTATTTGCTGTTATTTATTAAAAATATATAAAAAATATTTGTAATTTTTTTGGTTTAAGATTTATTTTAAAGTATAGTACTCAGTTTATTATTTATGAATCTATGAAAAAAATTTGTCTTTATGATTAAAGAACTTGACTTGAAAGAAATGGATGAATGTGGATTGGAAAGAAGAAAATAAGTAACATTTTTGAGTACCTTGCATTACTGTTATTTATTAAATATATATAAAAAATATTTGTAATTTTTTTGGTTTAAGATTTATTTTAAAGTATAGTACTCAGTTTATTATTTATGAATCTATGAAAAAAATTTGTCTTTATGATTAAAGAACTTGACTTGAAAGAAATGGATGAATGTGGATTGGAAAGAAGAAAATAAGTAACATTTTTGAGTACCTTGCATTATATTTGGACTATTTCATTTTTACAAAGAAAACCTGTATTATTGGTATTAAACTAGAGTAATGTGGAGTTCAAAGAGGTTAAATAACTTTTCCGAAGTTAAATAGCCATCAAGTCATAAATATAAGATTTGAAATCTGCCTTACTAAAATTGTTACCTACAGTCTCAAATATTAGTGGACTATAAAGAGAAAAAAAAAATCTTCTAATATAAGCAGATCAAACAGGCATCAGTTGTAACCTAAAAGTTAAAATTTGTTTGGTTTCATTTGGTGGTGGAAGATTTACTTACCTGTCTTTGATAAGGCTAAGTATTGGTATGTAGAATAAAGTTGTTAGAAAATAGTTGAATGTCAATTACATATATTTTAATAATAGGCAAGGTGATCATTGGATGATTATGCTCTTAGTAAGAGAACAAATTTGATTTACTGAAATATTTCTGTTTTGAAAGAATAGTATTAAGGAAACTGATAAAAAGAAACTAATTGTATGGATGCTATGTTAGAATTCTTTTTTATATAGGTTTTGTTCTTCATCCACTCAGTTACTAACTGAAAACATTTTGAACAGAGACTGGTTATTCATTTTAATAAACTTTCCCCATATAGAATAGAATTGTTTTCAAAAATTGATATCTGTTTTTAATGATTTGACTGAATGAAAAAGTTTCAATATTATTTCATTCTCATAAAGTAATACTAAACAAATCACATCTAAGATGAGTTAGTATGACAATTTATTATATTTTTAGCAAACTGAAAGTAACGCGACTATTTTTTATGTAGTTTGCGTATTGTGTATATCTGTGTGTGTATCTGTGTGTGTGTGTGTGTGTGTGTGTGTGTGTGTGTGTGTGTGTGTGTGTGTGTGTGTGTGTGTGTGTGTGTGTGTGTGTGTGTGTGTGTGTGTGTGTGTGTGTGTGTGTGTGTGTGTGTGAAAATTCATTTTAGTAATATTTGATCAGTTTGGAATAGGTTATTTCTACATCTAAATCAACCGTGATGAAAAGATTTTAAAAGTGAAAAAGTGCATTTGTGTTTTGATTACTGCTGAATGCATTAAGTCTTTGCTATTCAGTATTTTTCCTTTATTAAAAATAGGGGAGTCATTTGACCTTAGGACTGATGAAATAAGGATAGTTTTGTTGGAGCTGAACCATCTCTAGGAAAACATTTTGCATGAAAAGATGGCATTTATTTTATTGTTTATTATTGCTCTTACTATGACCGTCATTACTGAAATGTATTACTTAATTATATATGTTGTAAATCAACGACAACTCTTACCTTTTAAAAACTTGGTAGCATACCTTGGCTAAATCTAGGGAAAACATTTTTAATTATGGTAGTCTAACTTGCAAGCGATGGAACACACCAAAAGCATTTCCAAAAAAGTAGAAGGATGTGTGCGATTACTACACATCACTTAAAATAATTGTGTGGCTAATTTAGATGAGCCGCTCTAGCACTGGCAGTGGGTGAACTCGGATACCTTTTTTCTCCATTCTGGCAAAAAGAAATCCTACAGGAAATAGAAATCCTGTCATTTCTTTTATTTTGCATCTCTTTTCTTTCCATCTGGCAGTTGAAATTTAGATGGACTTTACCTGCCACCATCATGTTTCTGACACACACACACACACACACACACATATGTGTATGTTTTCTAGATGGCATCAATGACCCCTATTATCTACCCTCCTAAGTAGTGCAGTCAATACCATTTTAAATAGGAACTCATTCGCAAATAATCATAGGTTTGATCTCAGCCTAAAAAGATCTTACTTGACAGATCTTACTTGACATTCCCTATGCCTTGGCAGTTTCTCAATTTTTTTTCTTAATTTTTTTTTTTCTTCTTCAGCTCAGGTACCTGACAATGATGAGCAGTTTGTGCCAGACTATCAGGCTGAAAGTTGTAAGTATAGTATGACTCATCTCTTGTATTTTTCTTTTTCTCGTTTCCTTCTTTTATTCTTTCTCTTTGGTTGGTTTCCACTTCTAGTGTCTGTTCTTGCATTGTGCCAGCACCTGTTAGCTTCCGGTCATGAGGTGATTTTATTTGGCAGATTGTGACATCAGCAGAGACTGTATGATCTGAGCAGAGCTTCAAATAGGAGGCAAGGAAAACTAATTTGATTAAAAGATGATCCTGTTCTTCAAATTTGGTAAATATCCTTGGAGAGGAAACTATGTGATCTAGGAATCAAGTGCAAGTGTTTACTTCCAGTTTGCCAATATATTCGCAAGGAAAAGTTTGGATGCTGATGGCGGACAGCCTGAGTTAAAATCCATAGGAGATTAGTTATTGTATAACTTAAAAAAAATTCAGGACCAAGCATTCATTAGCTTATTGCATTATTTTGCACTCTCGGATTATCATCTGCTTTGATTTCATTTTTAGTCTGAAATTTCCTACTTCTGGTTACTATAACTCCACTGGGAGTAGCCACTGGCTTTTCTTAGGGTACCTTCAGTGTTCCTTTCCCTGAGCCTTGCTCCAGGTCCTGACTGTCAGAGAATGTGTGAGGAGTGATTCATGGGATACTCACTCTCCCTTAATTGCAGAGTGAGCAGTTTGCCTGTACAAACATGGTTGCCTCAGGGTTTACTGCTGATATTTATACTTTGCCATTCTACCAGCTAACTGTAGCTATTGACCCGAGGAGCAAATAGTAAGGAAAAGGTGATAATACCATTTTGATGATGAAATTGGCCTAATGTATTTTTGTTCTATTAGCGCCTTTTAGAGCTCTAACTTGTTTCATTTTTTTCAGACCATTGGCAATATCAGAGGAGGCAATATCAGCAGTAACAAGAGATGTTTAATACCTTTCCATATATCAAAATCATATTTTCACACCATAATATCATAAATCTATTATAATACCTGTATTACCTCAAGTAACAGATGTTTGTGGGTAATGTTTTCAATTTTCATGTTTGGTATCTTACATTTCCCAGGGGTGGAGGATTGTGAGAGAGTTTTCCAGATGTGTCTTCTCCTATGTTACTTGTTTTAGTTCAACTTGATTTTAAAAAAAAGTTGTCGTGGTAAAATATACATACCATATAATTTACCATTTTAACCATTTTTAAATATACAGTTCATTGGCATTAAGTACCAGCTCCGTGCTAAGTAGCCATCACTACTGTCCATCTCTCTAGCCTTTTCACCATCAGAAACTAAAGCGTTGTCCTCACAAAACAGTGACCCCCATTCTGCCAGCCCTTCGTAACCACTGTATTATCATTTTGGTTTTTGACCCGGGTAGAGAATTCTGTGTTCTGTTTGATGTCTGAATACAAGTGTTTGGCATACACTTTCAAGAAATCTAATCATGGATGATATAGACCTTAATTAGGGACTCTCAGAAGACTTCCTCGTATTGATTAAAATTTGGGAAGAAAAAAGTCATATCCAACATTCCCTTTCTGTGGGGCATTAAGTTCTTTCTAAAAGTTAAATCTGTTATCTGAGTTAAAGAATTAGTCTCCCTGAGGCATTTTTACTTTGGAAGAAACTGATGATGATTCCAATATTATACCAAATGTCAGGGTAAAATAAACTACCTAGTGGTCATAACTTCTTTCCTGTTTGATTTTTTTTTTTTTCAGCTTTTCTTATTCTTGAGTATTTCATGTACTTGAACACTCATCTTTTGGTCACAGTGGTGTGATTTTTCCTTTCTCTTTTTGTTCCTAGCACTCCTTCTCATGCTAATCATCTTCTTTTTTTTCTTCTTCTGAGCTTCTGTCCCAAACATTTCCTTTGATTTTACATGCTTCATGTCTGTGCTATACCCTGAGAATTTCCTATGTTATGGGGAAGGTCTACATCTGTGCTGCTCAACACAGTAGGCACGACCCACATCGGTCATTGACCACACAGTCAATGTGGCTTAATAGGACTGAAGGAATTATTTTGAAATTTTTTTTGATTTTGATTACTTTAAATTTGGGCATGTGTACCAGCTGGTTGCTGCATGGTCAGTGCAGCTCTGTAGAGCAATGTCTCCCAGGTTGTTATCATCAGCCTGAATCTTCCTCCTGCTTATGTCTATCAGATATCCTCATCTGATCCACACTAGGGTCCTTGTACAAATTAGAATAAGGTGACACCTCTGGGCTCATCCCCTCAGCCTTCGGCAGTATGTCAGCATAAAATGCTATTTACACATGTCCCCAGTCTTCAGCGAGAGGCTCCACGGACAATTCGCGTTCGGCAAGTCCAACATTCAAATGATTTTTTTTCCTCCTTGGCCAACATTTGTCTTCTACCTTTGTTGCCTTTCTAAATTAATGGCATCACCACACAAGTTGAAAACCGGTGATTTATCCTTTGTCCCCTCAGTTCTTCACAGTAAACCTCCAATTACTAACCAAGTTGTTTAAGTGGACCTTTCAAAAAATACCTTAATTTCCTGGCCTCTACTCTATCCCTATTCTTCTGCTTTTATTTATGCACAGATTCTGCCTTGACTGAACTTCTGAGTCAGCCTTTTGATTGGTTTTCTTGCTTTGGTTTTCCCTCCTTTCAGTCTACCCTTCACCGCAACGTGAACACACAGCTCTCCGGCCTTGTTAATTTTCTCCTCAGACTTCCTACAGGACAAAGTCCTAATTTCTTAGCTGTACAGACCTTGACTCCCTTGTCAGTTTTAACTCTTGGTGCTCCAGCACCTTACTCCGTATGTTCTTTGCACATTAGCCCTTCTCGTTTTTCAGTTCCAATGAAGATCGGGCTGTTTTATGCCTCTTTGCCCTTTCACATGCTCATCTTGCTTTAAAGCTTTTCACTTTTGCTTTACACTCTGATGAACCTCCTGTTTTCAGACTTAGCTAAGGGTTTACCTGATAGAAGATTTTCTCAGTCTTCTCTTGCTACCTGATCTTGCAGAGTTAGTGGGACTCTACAGAAAAGTATCTCTTGTATTATTATATTATTTTAGATACCTGTGTCTTTGATACGATTGAGAACTTTCTGAAGATTAGGATCATGTCATACCAGCATCCCATACATTTTATAGAAGTGCAATAAGTAAAACTGTCATCGTAATCATGATCAGCTTCCTATGCTTATTTTCTCCTAAGTATTTTCAGTGTTTTTATTCCCTTCTTAATGTAGAAGCATATGATCTTGCCTTTATAGTATGTTTGGTCTTGTTCTTGGAAAACTTGCTAAGTGCATAAAAGTTTAACCAAATATTTTCAGGATAGTAACATTTCATTTTACTTCATTTAGTGAATATTTAGTTTAACAAGAATGACTTTAGGACTGTGAATAAAACACCTGATTATGAAATAAATCTATAAGGAAGGGTAAAAATAAATCAGAAATAGTCTAGTAAAAAGAAACTGGAGGAATATTTTATCTCAAGTTTCCACTGACATGAGAACTATTATTCTGTTGAGGTTGGCCAGCTAGTTTTGGTCTTCACTGAGGAGGGAAGAAGAGGGAAATTATTTAGAAAGAGAAATAAGGTATTTGTATTCAACTTTTTTAAAAAGAATTTTGGGGTGAGAAGGTTATGAAATATTGGAACTGAGATGTTATATGGTCTGTGAAATGCCTTTTACAAATGTTTGATTCTTATCTGTCTAGGGATGCTTCCTGGGTGGAGGGATCCTATCTCTCAGAATAGAAAGACACTCCATCCCCCTGTGTGGCCTGTCTATAAATTCTATGGGGCTATTTTTTTCAAATGTGAATAATCAAATTTCCTTACGTACCTCAGTGAAATAAGATGCTTCTGTTTTTGCTTTTATTGCTTTAGTCCTTCAGTAAATAGAGGTTAGGAGAACCAACTGGACAATTTTGCTCAACATTGGATTGTAGAACATACATTTGAATGTAATCTCTTTAAATATGTGTAGAAGAGTAGCCAACAGAGCATCCAAAATTTGTGCAAATGAGATTAAACCATAACTCTAGTAACTTTCTAAAATTTTTCATTAAAACATTTTTATCTTTCAGAGAAAGACAGTGAGACAGAGAGACACCCTTGATAGGATCTGTCAAGCTGAGATCTCCTTTCAGCCCTCCCACTAGTCAGAATTTCAGGTGCATTCACACCTGCCCAGTGACTTTCAGGTCTACTTGAGGTTCGAACTCACTGTCGACCTTGGGACTTCCAGCACTGAGAATCCGTACAATACTGCTTGCGCCACTGAGGCTGGGCTGAGAAATCAGAGTGATTAAAATATGAATGATATTTATCTTTCTGAAGTAAATGCAAATTTTTATATAAACTGAATTCTTGTAAATTGTGTATTTTTAAAATTACATCATTACTCTTACAGGAGGGAATTTTAAGAAGTTTGTGGAAAGATGGAATTAAAGTATGAGTTTATTGTGGTGCAAAAAAATTTTGAAATCTGTGCATGTTTTGTTCATAGTAGGCATTTTCCATGAACTTTTGAAGACCCCTCTCTTTTTAAATCACGTACTCTAAATTTTGTTGTATCAGTCTATCACCTTTAATTTTATTCTTTATCACAAAGCTATATATTATTTTTATAACTACTTTGTTTTTATTTTGTTGTGTTAGTTCACTTCACTCATCTCTCTGTAGTGAGTAACAAGGTAGATGATAGTCACGTTCACATTTCACATTCTCTTAGAACGCTTTCAGGAGTATGAGGAGTCTTCAAAAAACTCATAGAAAATGCATATTATAGTAAAACTGCATGGATTTCAACATATTTTTTCACTAAATAAACTCATACTTTAATTCTGTTTTCCACAACCTTTTTGAAGTACCTGTGAATAGCCAGGTTATGCAAAATTTCCAATAGAATAGGGTGAATTGTTGTCACTCTTTCTTCTCTTACATTCCAGAACACACACTAGAATGCAAGTCAATTAGAATGATGTTATTAAAGGAAGAATCGCATTGATTCTTCTCTCCAGACACA